GAGAGGCGCGATGAGTTCGTTGCGCTTAAGCAGGAGGGGATGTCACTGCCTGAACTGAGACAGAGGTTCGACTACTTGTCCCAGTACGCGACGAGTCTGGTCTCCACTCCGGAGGATCGTTTGAATGAGTTCGTCAAGAAGCTACGGCCGGACTTAAGGCCGTACGCCGCACTGATCACGACGACAGATTTTAATGCGGCGTATGATTTGATTGTGAAGACGGAAAAGAGCTTGGACGATCTGCGGGCAACCAAGAAAGATGATCGAGCGACGAAAGACCCGCGACCCGCGGCCAGCACCGGGCCGAGCGGGAAGAGTTTTGGATTCGGGGGAAAGAGGTACGAGAAGGGTTCTTCGAGTGCGCCACCGCCTAAGAGGAGTAAGTCGAGGTCGTCTCCGTCGGCCGCCGCTAGCAACTCGAACAGAACGAGGAGCCACCCGCAATGTGTACATTGTGGTAGGCATCACCCGGGCGAGTGTTGGCTCACCCAAGGCTTATGTTTGGGTTGTGGTCAGCCAGGGCATTTCAGGAGGCATTGCCCGACAAACCCTAGCAGCGAGCCTATTTTACCTAGAGCTCTGGATCAGCCTGCCGCATCACATCCAGCACGGAGTCAGCAGTCTACGGCCGCAAATAATCAGCAGAGACCACGTCCGCAGCAGTCAGGCCGGGCACCAGCGCGTACCTACGCCATGCATGGGCGCACAGATCCTAGCCCCGATGTTATCTTGAGTACGTTCGTACTATTTGATTCGGTTATGCATGCCTTGATCGATCCAGGTTCTACGCTCTCCTATATCTGTGTTGGCATGCCTGCTAATTCTGCGATTGTGAGGAGTGACCTTGAGATACCTACCGTTGTATCAAATCCGCTAGGACATAGCATGCGTCTTCATCACATCTATCATAGGTGTCCGTTGTCCGTGCAAGGGAAGCAATTCCCTGCAGATTTGATAGAGCTACCACACAAGGAGTTTGACATTATCCTTAGTATGGATTGGCTCACCGAGCATAGAGCAGTGGTCGACTGCAGTTGTCGGACCGTACGGCTGAGAGCCGAGGACGGTAGCGACGTATCACTCTCCGGGGAGGTGTTCCCCAAGGCTCCCGAGTTCATATCGTCTTTGAGCGCGAGGCGCTTGATTCGCAAGAAGTGCGAGATGTTCCTGTGTCACGTTCAGGATATGCGAAAAGAATCACCACGTCAGCAGGACATTCGTGCGGTTTGCGACTTCCCCGAAGACCTACCTGGTTTGCCTCCGCCGAGAGAGGTAGAGTTCTCGATCAATCTCATTCCGGGTACGGAACCCATATCTGCTACACCGTATCGTATAGCACCTGCCGAGATGAAGGAGTTGAAGGGTCAGTTGCAAGAGCTACTGGAAAAGGGATTCATCCGACCTAGCGTTTCCCCATGGGGAGCACTGGTGTTATTTGTTCGAAAGAAAGATGGATCCATGAGACTTTGCATCGACTACAGGCAGTTGAACAAAGCCACAGTGAAGAATCGTTATCCATTGCCTCGCATCGACGACCTGTTTGACCAGCTCAGAGGGGCTACAGTATTCTCGAAGATCGATCTGCGTTCTGGATACCATCAGATTTCCGTTAAGAGAGAAGACATGCCTTTCGGATTGACTAATGCCCCGGCAGTGTTCATGGAGCTTATGAACAGTGTGTTCCGACCATACTTGGACCAATTCGTAGTAGTGTTCATCGATGACATCTTGGTTTATTCACGGACTCAGGAGGAGCATGCTAGACATTTGCAATTGGTTTTGAGTGTGTTGAGAGAGCACAAGATGTATGCAAAATTGTCTAAATGTGAATTCTGGTTGAGTGAGGTGACATTCTTAGGACATGTTATCTCTGCCACCGGTATCCAGGTAGACCCCAGCAAGATTTCAGCCATAGTGGATTGGAAGACTCCGCGGAATGTTCGTGAGGTGAGGAGCTTCCTTGGGTTAGCCGGTTACTATCGCCGATTTGTTAAGGGCTTCGCTTCGATCGCTACTCCATTGAACAAGCTACTGCGTAAGGACATCTAATTTGAGTGGACAGAAGCGTGCCAGCGCAGTTTTGATCAACTGAAGGAGTGCCTGACCTAGGCACCAGTCTTGATTCAACCTACTCCTGGCATCGAGTATACCATCTACAGTGACGCATCTCATAGCGGCTTAGGTTGTGTACTGATGCAGTTGAGTAAGGTAGTGGCCTACGCATCGAGACAGTTGAAGACTCACGAGGAGAACTACCCGACACATGATTTAGAGTTGGCAGCCGTGGTGTTCGCCTTGAAGATTTGGCGCCACTACATCTTTGGAGAGATGATTCACATCTTCACCGATCACAAGAGTTTGAGGTACCTACTCACCCAGAAGGAGCTGAATCTTAGACAACGTCGATGGTTGGAGCTGATCAAGGATTATGATTTAGTCATTGAGTATCACCCGGGCAAGGCTAACATCGTGGCCGATGCTTTGAGCAGAAAATCGTTAGCCGAGTTACAGCTTCAGTCTCTGTTAGAGCAGGAGATCCGTACAGCACAGAGAGATGATGAGTTTTGTCAAAAGACTCGAGAGTTAGTTCCTACAGGAAAGAGGCCCGAGTTTGCAATTCGGATGACGGAGTCTTGTACTATCGTGAACGCCTAGTGGTGCCCCGCGGTGAAGTGAGGGATCGCTTGTTACGCGAGGCTCACGGAACCGTATACACTATGCACCCGGGTAGTAACAAGATGTATCAGGATTTGAAGAAATCCTATTGGTGGCCAGCTATGAAAAAGGAAATCTCCGAGTTCACTGCACGTTGTTTGACTTGTCAGCAAGTCAAAGCTGAGCACCAAGTTCCGACAGGGTCGCTGCACCCTCCTACCATTCCGGAATGGAAGTGGGAAAGGATCACTATGGACTTTGTGATCGGATTGCCACGATCTTCACGAAAGAATGACGCCATCTGGGTCATTGTTGATAGGTTGACGAAGTCCGCTCATTTTCTACCCGTCAGACGTGACTCTTCCTTGGACAAATTGGCAGACTTATACGTTAGAGAGATAGTTCGTTTGCACGGTGCACCGCTGTCAATCATATCTGATAGAGATCCCCGGTTCACTTCGAAGTTCTGGAGAGGACTTCAGAAGGCTTTTGGCACAGCTTTGAACCTTAGTACGGCATTTCACCCTCAGACCGATGGCCAGTCTGAGAGGGTGATACAGATTGTCGAGGATATGATGCGAGCTTGTGTGATCGACTTTGGAGAAGATTGGGAGCGTTACTTGCCGTTGATGGAGTTTGCATATAATAACAGTTACCAGGCGAGTATTCAGATGGCTCCGTATGAGGCACTCTATGGCAGAAAGTGCCGAACCCCGATTTGTTGGACAGAGCTTAGCGAGCGTAAGCTCGAGGGACCAGATATTGTACAGGAAACCGAGGAGAAGGTTCGTATGATCCGAGACCGACTCCGCACTGCTTCGGACAGACAGAAATCATATGCAGACTTAAAGAGACGAGACATAGAGTACAATGTTGGTGACATGGTATTCTTGAAGGTTTCACCTTGGAAGAAGGTCCTACGGTTCGGGAAGAAAGGGAAGCTTAGCCCTAGATTCATTGGACCCTACCGCATTCTTGAGCGAATAGGACCTGTTGCTTACAAGTTAGAGTTGCCACCAGAGCTGAACAGGATTCACGACGTCTTTCATGTCTCCATGCTACGTAGATACCGTTCAGATCCGACTCATGTGTTGCCGACCAATGCTGTAACCCTCGATGAGAGTTTGTCTTACGAAGAAGAACCAGTTAAGATCTTGGTGCGCGAAACTAAAGTGTTAAGAAACAAGACGGTACCTTTGGTAAAGGTACTATGGCGTAATCATGCGGTGGAAGAAGCAACCTGGGAGACCGAAGAATCTATGCGAACTCAGTACCCTCATCTCTTCGACGACCAATGACTTAGGTAATTTCGAGGACGAAATTCTTTTTAAGGGGGGGAGAAATGTAACGCCCCGAAACCTGGCTCAAAAGAATTAATTAAATTGCTAGAGCAGTTGATTACGAATTGGGCCCAATAAGGGGTTAAAATTATAATTTGGATTTTAAGCCCAACTTTTATGTCATCTCGTAGGAAATATTTTTGTGATCGCGTCGGTTCAGACGGCTCGTGAATCGGAGTTACAGAGCTCAAGTTATGACCATTTAATCAGGTATTTTGGGTCCGAATCCCAATCCTTTTTGGAATGGGACCATTAAATAAACATAACCACACAAACCTTATCCTTCGTTCGTCCGTCCTTTTTCTTCTTCTTTCTTCTTCTTTCTTCTTCTTTTTCTTTCTTCTTCTTCTTCTTCTTCCTTCTTCTTCTCCTTCATTCTTCTTCGTCGCTCGCCGCCGGAAGCCTCGCCGCACCAGCGCCGATCGCCGCCGTACAATTGGAGTAGCCGCCGGAGGTTCGCCGCAGCCAATTGTCGCTGCCGAAGAAGAAGAAAGAAAAAGAAGAAGAAAGAAAAAGAAAGAAGAAGAAAAAGGACGGACGAACGAAGGATAAGATTTGTGTGGTTATGTTTATTTAATGGTCCCATTCCAAAAAGGATTGGGATTCGGACCCAAAATACCTGATTAAATGGTCATAACTTGAGCTCTGTAACTCCGATTCGTGAGCCGTCTGAACCGACGCGATCATAAAAATATTTCCTACGAGATGACATAAAAGTTGGGCTTAAAATCCAAATTATAATTTTAACCCCTTATTGGGCCCAATTCGTAATCAATTGCTCTAACAATTTAATTAATTCTTTTGGGCCAGGTTTCGGAGCGTTACATGAACAGAGGCTGTTTTTTTTGTTTTTTCAGCATATGTTGTTTGCTCCTTTGTTGTGACAGTATATTTTTAGTATGTTTATACTGATTTGAGCCCTAGTTTGAGACACTCTTGTACCCTATTTTTGGTCATAGTGGAGCTTACTTGGTGGTCTTTGTGAACGTGGTTTGATTTATTACTAAATTCCCGTCATTTAAGAGATTGATTTATAAATTTTTTTAATATAAAAAGTGATATGAGTTATAAAATAAAAAGATTTAATATGATAGTGGACAAAAGCTGATGAGATGCAATTGTTATGGAAGACATCAAAACCCCAAATTGACACTCGATTATGTCTTAAGTCCAAGAGATTAGCAACGCGTTTAAGAGAATCTTATACTTTTAGACATCAAATATAGGTGCGATTCATTCAGTTTAGGCTGCAACAAGAGGTGTACAGCTCTGAGAACTTGTTTAGTTTCATACCTAGCAGATCGACCATAGAAGCCATTCGCATCTTACAAATATTGATGGAAGAGTATAGCGTCAAGAAGAATGATCTTCATAAGGTCTTAACTGATCTCGAGAAGACATATATGATAGGGTGTCAAGGGAGGTCTTGTGAAAGTTTATTAAGTTGAGAGATGTTTCAATACATACATTCGGATTGTCTAAGATATGTATGACAGGACATGGAATAGGGTAAAGAGTATTTATTGGGTGGCTATGGGCCTTATCTCTCCGTAGAGATGTGGTTACATTAGTGATTTGTCCTTTGCCCTTTTTTGTTTGTTCTGGTGATGGACGTCCGGACACTTAAAGTTCAAGGACAGGTCACGTGGTGTATGTTTCTTGTTGACAATATTGTGCAGATAGATGAAGACCATGATGGATTACATGACAAGTTGGGACTTTAGTGTATTTCTCTGTAATTCAAAAGATTCAAGCTAAGTATGACCAATACTCAATACATGGAATGTTGTTTTAGTGGTCAAGAGACAAAATTACGAATGAAAGTTAAGATCGATACTTATCCAGAAGGAAAACATATTTTGATATATTTTCCCGATCACTTAGGTGAATGAAGAGTTGGACATGGATGTTACACATTGTGCTAGAGCAATTTGAGCTTAGTGGAGTTTGGCTTCAAGGGTTTTGTGCGATATGAAGATTTTGGTTAAGATAAAAAGTAAGTTCTACTGGTCCGTAGTCAAACCAGCTTTGATCTATGGTGCAGAATTTTAGGCAATTAAGAAAACTCAAGTTTGTCAACTGTATGCTACAGAGATGCAAATGTTACAGTGGATGTGTGGGGAAATGAAGTTGGATAGGATTCAGGACAAGGTTATGTTAGGATGGGTCAACATAGCACCTTTGAAAGATAAGCTGGGGCAAGCTAGGTTGAGATGATTTTGACATGTGAGGGGGTGGATGGTGATGCCCTAGCGCAAAGATGGTAGAGACTTACGTAGGTGGGCGGGAGTAGGGGAAGGTATAGACATATGAAGAATTGGAATGATGTCATTAGAGTACTTGTGTAGACGCCTTGAGCTAGATGATATATTTGTTGGACTTAGCTTGTTGTGTGTTTTGTATGTTTTAAATGCTTGATGCTCTCTATTTGCATTACTTTTCTTTTGTTAAAATTAGATCGTTCTTAACCTCTGTGTGCTTTGGATTTTATATTTGTGATTTCTCTATTTTATTATGTATCTACTATGTTCTTTTATTACTTTTATTGTCTTTTACTATTTTTACTGTTTCATGCGGGTACCTTGAAAATAGGTTTTCTACTTTTAAGTAAGGATAAAATTCACTAACACAAATCCTCCTCAGATTTTACTGTCGTGTGATCTAACTGGATTATTATTATTGTTGATATTTATGAATATCAAATTCGAACTCTATTCATACATTACTCCCTCCGTTCTAATAAAAGATCCATAGTTTGACTTAGAGCCAAAATACGAAAGTGTTAAATTATACTCTCTCTGTCTCTAAATAGATTACAATTTTTTTCTCTCTTCTCGATAACTTTTGTTTGTTTACGCGATTTCATTAAGAATTTGATAAAATAAAATATTCTTGTCACATCTTGTTTTGTAGAACTTTTGACGTAGTTTTTTAATATGTAACTTTAAAATCTTATTGATATATCAATCTGTATATAAAATGATTTTAAAAAGTAGAAAATTTCACTCCGTAACTCGCAACTTGTAATCAAATTGGGAACGGAGGGAGTAGTTCATTTCCATTTTGTTCTTGATGTGATGGATAAAAGTAAGATGTGATGGATAGATTATTAGATAAAAAAGTATGATGTGATAGGTAGTGTATGAAAAAGTAAGGGTAAAAGTGGTTTTTTAATAGAAAGGGAAGTGTTTTCTTGGAAGTAAAAAAATGAAAAAGGAAATGTTGAGAATATTTAACTTTCGAAAATGTTATAATAGAACGATAACAAGGTATTTTGGTGTAGCGACAAGGATATAACCTAATATTTTTTATCTAGTGTTTAAGTCCTACCCAGGGCTGGGTTAGGAAAACCGAAAACCGCAAACCGAACCGAAATCGATCGAAACGAGCTAGAAAAAAAACCGAACCGAAAAAACCGATACCGAATGTAAAAAAACCGAACCGAACCGTTAGTGTTTGGTTCCGTTTTGGTTTTCACTTTTAAAAACCGAACCGAACCGAACCGAATAAACCGAACTTTCTTAGATACTTCGCTTTATTTGTATGAATACATGTGATATGTAAAAAAAATTATAGAAATATAAACGTAAATAAATTACTAGTCGATTAAAATTATTTTCTAAACTATTAATTAAACATTCTAGCCATATTATTATAAACTTTGAAAAAACCTAAGAATATAAACACCAATAGCTAATCCTAATATAGAATTATATTAACATTAAAAATTGACACGAGTAATTTACATAACAAATACTTTGATGTTATAATGAAAATGAAAGTATTATGCCAAAAACCTGAATTCTTCGTAATTGATTTTACATATGACTTCTTTGGAAGTATTTGGAATCTTCTAAATGTTTGTTGGGCACTCAACACATATTTTTTATGTAAAATTGAACCGAAAGGAACAATAACCTTCCGTTTGGTTTTTGTTTTTGTGTAAAAATCAAACAAAAAACCAAAGCTAACACTACATATTGTTATTTTTTAATCGAGTTAGTATTTTTACAATTTTTAATGCTTATAAATTTTTACTTTTATAAACCGAAAAAACCGAAATAAAAACCGTATAAAACCGAACCGAATAACCAACGGTTTACATATTTTTTTATGCAAAACCGAACCGAACCGCCAATTTATCTTCCGTTTTGTCTTTGATTTTGGGTGAAAACCGAACCGCTAAAACTGAACCCACCCCTAGTCCTACCTCTACTAAATTATGAGGTTATATTAGTTTGGAGACATTAACCAAACATGCCCTTAAAAAATATTTTCAACAAAACATGCCATGATCTCTCCTTGCCAAACAGTTCTATAGCAGCACACCTTTGCAGCGACACATAACGTGTCGATCTGTCGAGACGCCGCCGGTTAGGAGCCGGCCACCGCAGCTATTGACTCGAGACTGCCGGTTGGTGATTGTCTCCTTTATCTTCCTTCCATCAGTAAATTCTAGTCGTATGTTTTCCCGGCGGTGTTCAGGTAAACTCGTTTGAAAAGCTCGTATCTAGGTTTCAGTTTTTGATTCATTATTTCCCATCGATGAGAAATGTGGTTACCATTGATTGACTGGTTGTTGAACAAATTAAACTCTATTTTATTCAGAATTTCAGATCACCTGGGCAGAAAGATTCTTTTTGTGTTTGTTGTTGTTATTGTTGTTGTTGTTGTTGTTGTTGTTTTGACTGAATTTAGAAGGCCACAAGATTTAATCCAAATTGAAGCCAAAAGATTTTGATTGTACAATGAACCTGGAAAAATTTATAGTTCCCATGGAAATTCAACTCCCCTAACCCCAATTAAGTAGTGAAAATGAAATCAACCAAAGCAAAGCCATTAACTTTTCCAAAATTTATTAAGGATTTGGGTGCCGGGACATTCCAAGTACCCAAACAGGGACAAGTTTATTAAGGATTTGGGTGTCGGGACGATTCGGGGACAAGCAGGAGCAGTAATTTGAAGAATATGTGCGACTTAGTTCTAACTTCTAACCATCAACGGAGTGGAAACTTTCTTGTGGGCTTTTTAAGCACTTGACCGTTTGGTTAAATTGATTTTGTGACATACAATTGAAAGTTCGTGGGGGCGCAGCGGAAATTACCAATTAAGAACTATGCAAACAAAACAATCAACTATGTTGTAGAGACTATGATGCAGCACTGTCACAGTAACAGATGACGCACAGGGTGCTATAACACTTCTCTGTCACAAGCACACACAGACAGAAGCAGATGATGCAGAGGGTGTTACAACGCCTACTGGACAGAATGCTGTAACTATAAAGATGCGTAAAAAATGACAACAGATATGTTTACGCAGTTCGGAGAAACTCTCATAATCTGCGGGGCCCACGTCCGTGTAATAGCCCTCCATTAAATCACTAGATGCAAGTTACACCGGTACATAACAACATGATGAGACACCTTTCTCCGGATTGCTATGACAAAACTTCTAATCTAGGATTTCTAACTCGAACTCTGTTCAGATCCGCTTCGGCTATCACATCTCCTCCGAGATCACGAGGACAAACGTGTTGGCAGCCCTCTCCTTAAGCTCTGGTTTATCTTCTCGACATCACGATCTGTTTGGCGTTAAAGATCTCCTCCTTCATGTAGATCGTGACCTTCTTCACGCACGGGAAGCTCCGGGACGCGACGGGAATGCTCTACATCAGCGCATATTCGTTGTTTTCCCTCTCAATCGCTCCAAGTAATTCCCAAGGACCAGCTGCGTTTTTATAGACTCCTCTTAACACAATCCTAGTAGGAATAGGATAGTAGAAGTTGGCTTGAACTCTACTTCATTAATCTTGATCCACAAGTAGCTTAAAGAGTTGGGATTCCTTAGCATGTACAGCTGGAGTTATTATCATGTAACCACAATCCCAATAGGTCTCTAATTCAGATTGCAGCTTAAAATCCCGTGCTCAGACCTCTGATCCCGAACAAGGTGTTGCAGCATCGTGCTGTAGCATCTTCTGTGTCAACCTCAAAAACTGCAGCAACTCTAGAAGTCTAAATAAATTAAACCTCTCCTAACAAATAGAGGTTTTTACCTAGTACAACACCTAACAAATATGGGATTCTATTTTGCCAAAATATTAGCCAACACCATGGAACCAACAACAATGGGTCTGGAAAGAGCCATTTGGCTGCCCCGGATTCGGGGCGAATTAACACGAGTGAATCAGGAATCTGCCCTAATTGCAACTTTTTATGAATTAGGACTAGGTTTGGGTGGAGTTAGATTAAGATCATAATGGAAGTTAAAATTAAGATCAATAGAAGACAAGTGATTCGGAGTTGATATAGTCTTATAGATGTAATGTTTCATAGAAGATTAGAAACAGTCTCTTTACTTCTTTCTGTGTACACAAAATATGAGGGAGGATTTGTAGGGTAGGGTTACCTTTTTCTTTGACCGCCTTGATGCGATGATACACTTACTGTCTAAAAAACTTCATAGAAGTTAGGAACCAGATAAGAGATTCATACATATTAGGATTGCAAATCCATATCTTATCCAAACGGAGAATTTTTCAACTAAGATTTGAGATTCTACTCTTCTAGAATATCTAATCCATTTTGCTTACATGGGAAGCGATACTCAAGTTCTAGAAAGTCGTTACTAATGTATACAACAAGAACAACAACAGGCTCAGTAAAATCCCACAAAAAAATTGGATTTGAGAGAAGGGTTTGTGTACGTAGATTTTACCTGGTTACCCCTACTACTTCCAAGAGATCCTGGCTCAAAGTTATTATAAATGTACTCCTTAAGAATTGTAATTGTGTACACCTCTTTGGTTCAATGGTTTGTAACTTATTAGAGTAATAGGAGACCCAGATTTTCACTTGTAATTCTAAATCAAAACATACGATTTTTAACATATGCTAATTTTTTAAATTTATTTATTAGGTTGAAAACAACACATTATCAAATTCCCAAGCACATACCAAACAGAATCATCAGCTCGGTGTTAGCGGATATGGAGTCTGTGACGATGGGCACTCAGCAAAACAGGAATCAGATTCAGCCCGAGCAGCCGCTTCACCAAATGGATACGGATGAAGATGACGAAACAGTGAAGCAACTCCAAGAATGCTCTGTACATTACCTTGCCTTACAGGTGATCAAATAAATGATCATCCGTTTCCTTTAAATTTCAAAGGATTATTTTGCCAAAAAAGAACCCTCCCTTAATGGAGCTGATGATCCTTTGATATATTTGCAGGATTGCCTTGTTGAAAACAACCGCAGCTGGAAATCTTGCCAAAATGGTAAATCTTTCCCAACCTTCAGTTTAATTATTTCCTCAGAAAAGGGAAAAAGAAGAAAGAAAAGAAAATAAACTATTTATTACTCTGGAATTTTTATTGCAGTAGTTCAAGCTTTGAAGGCTTGCAATGAGAAGAGAAATAGCAAGAAGGGGAGTTAGTTGATTGCTAAGAAACATTTTCTTTTTCATTTTCAATGCTAATGAGCAATGAATAATAATGTTGATAATAGAAACCGTTTTCGTGCATCGTCGCTTCTCAAATGTTGCATGGATTATTATTATTACCGAGCATTATTATTATTATTATTATTATTATTATTATTATTATTATTATTTATTTATTTATTTATTTAGTGTTGTGCTTACTCTATATGTGTTTTGTGGGAGAAGAGAGCCATAAACGTCCCAGTAAAGAGGGCATGATAACCAAACAAGGACTAAGCATTCTTAAAGAGACTTGCACCTCTAATACTCCGTACTAAGGAATTTGGTAACAAATAAAAAGGAAATGATTTTTCTCATTGAAATGGGGAAGATTTGGTTCCCCCTTACTCCCTTAGTATAACTTGTTTTTCATTTTTTTGTCCTTTCACTTTTTTTTTTCTTTTCTAACTAGACTAATTTTTTTTAATCACATTTTTTCCTTCTCTTTTAAATTTTTCGAATCAACCATAGTTTTGTAGATCTATTGGGGTAGTAAATTGATAACCGAAAATTCAATTACTGTCTGCATTCGCATCTGTTTGTATGTAAAATATCTACATATGTTAAAAGTAGTTATTATACGTATTCGATTGGTAAACAAATACAGATTTCGTTATCATACATCCGACCTGTTTATAATCAACTCCGCATTGACATCCGTTTAAGTAACTGTTTATTGATGTATCTGATTCGTTATATATAGTTTTTCTAATTTTTTATTTTTATATTTTGATTCTCTATTGATATTGCAAAATACTATAAGACATTTTTATATGCAAAATATATGTGTAAACACATAAAAATAAGTATAGACATATAAAATTATGTGTGTATGTACTATACATATCTTTCTATCATATGTCGTTATTGTATAATATCATAAAATATAAAAAATAAGAAAATAATTTTCAGATAACAAATTACAGTTGACTTAATGATATTTGGACTTTAATTTAATTGAAAATTAAAGTATTGTTTACTTTGATTTTAAAAATTGAAACGGATAGAAATATATCCGGTATCCGACCGGTATTCGACAGATGTGACTACGGTTTTGATTTTTAATATTTGTCAAGATCCATATCCGAATTCGATATCTGATAAAAAGAAACAAATATGAATTTGGTAATTACACATCCAATCCGATTAATATCTGTTTACACCCCTAAGATCTATTAATTTTAAATTTTTAATCCCACGCCATTTTTCATATGAAATAATTTAAAAATAACTATAGTCAAATATCGTAAACCGAAATACATAATTTAAATTAGAACGGAGAGAGTACCTACCTTCATTCCTTAAATTTCGGGCCCCTTCAAATAACTTTTATGAAACCAATTGTTGGAAGTTGAAAACTACAAACAAGAACACATCCAAACCTTTTGGTTAATTAGTGCTAATCTAGCAAGAAGCATTTTCAACAGCTCTGCTTCTTGGTGCTGCTATGCATACACAGAATAAAATAGAGGCGTGTTTGGCAATACGGATATTACTGATATGCTCAAGTCCTAGGGGGCAAAGAAAATTTGCACAAGAAAAAAATGAAACAAACAACCCCCCCTCCAAAAAAAAGTTTCCATGCCATTTTTCCCTTGCATTCCCTGCCCGTCTCCGGCGAAGCAAACCACCTGCTACACACAAAAAAAAGCTCAGTCAAAACTACAAGTGAACTTTTTGGTTTCACCCAAAACTAGAAAACAATGGTTTAATTCTAAGCCGTTCTTTGCTTTGGATTTTACTAAGTTTGTTGTTATGTTTCTTTATAGGTCTAGTTTGGTTGAGGGAATTTCGAAGGGGAGGAAAGGTTTGTGTTTTACTAATTTATACTCTTTCCACCCCGATGCATTTTTGCCCACTTTGGTTTTTGCACATATATGAAGGAAAAGGAATTCAATTAGAGAAATGATCATAATGCCCTTGTTTATTTACATATAAAGCAAGGATAAGGATTGATTGAGTAGTAACTAGTAAGTGTAATATAGTTGGGCAAAATGGTAAACTAGTCCTTTACTCATTTGCCATATAAAGAAAGTGGACAGATAATATATATTGGAATGACCCAAAAGGAAAAAAAGTGGACAAACCCATTGGGGCGAAAGGAATATATGTGTGTGTGTGTGTGTGTGTGTGTGTATGTATGTATCTATGTATGCATACGTATATGTATATGTATATGTATATGTATATGTATATGTATATGTATATGTATATGTATATGTATATGTATATGTATATGTATATGTATATGTATATGTATATGTATATGTATATGTATATGTATATGTATATGTATATGTATATGTATATGTATATGTATATGTATATGTATATGTATATGTATATGTATATGTATGTGTATGTGTATGTGTATATGTATATGTATATGTATATGTATATGTATATGTATATGTATATGTATATGTATATGTATATGTCAGTCTCGAATTAGAAAACAAACAATACCTTTGTTAGATAATGTGTTTCTTTATAAATTTTCATCTTCAAGTCCTTTCCAATTCCAACCATGTTAGAATAAGTTAATAATATGAAAAGATTACCATTTTCAGACACATTAAAACAAGAAATTGTGTTAATGTTACTTCAGTGTAAACAAGAAACAAACAGCAGATTAGCTAGACAGCCACTGAGAAAAGACGAAAAAGGGTTTGGGGGAGGGGGAGGGGGGGTATTGAAACTCACAAATCCATAATCAGCTACGAAACAGCAAAGGGCGACCTTTGATTTACGGATGGATTTAGTTCAGAGACTTGGCCACCTCTCACCGACGGAGAAGTTTCGGATGCAGTAGGAGTGAAAAAATTCTCAGGCATCCTCTCACTGGGTTCCTTATTTCCTTCAGTACAGTCAGTGGTTCTAACACCTGACTATCACACAGGTTCAAGATTGTACTAATAATGACAAACCATTTAAAATCTAAACATGGCACCATCATCATCAACAACAAAGTAAAATCCCACAAAAAGTTGGGGATTTGCAGTTTTCTATTGAGAGCAGAGAAAAAACCTATGTGTTGCACCGCTTGGCATGGACTTAGTTGTTGGGACCCATGCTACAAGTTTTTTTTGTAGCGTGGGACCCATCAATTTTGTGGAAATCAAGCGGTGTCAACTAGGCCGTCCCTGTCCATTCTATAAAAGTGATGCCCAATGCTAGCGATACTAATAGAAAAGACGTAATAGTTGCTAGAAGAAGAATAGAGGCATTGTATAACAAAGATGAAAAATCATGGCATACAATGATGATTGTGATGTCATCCGTTCGAGTTTCATGCTCTAGCCATCGCTTGTAAGATTCTGCAACAATTTCTGAACATGCTTCTCTGGGATCTGCGTATCGGTTTGCCTACCAGATATTAATGTATAGATGATATTCTTATTAGTTACGAAGACCTAAAAATGATACCAAAACATTTAAAATTTTAATGCACATTAATGCCAACTTAGAGAAACATTCTTTTAAGTTTTAACACTTATCCTTCCAAAAATGGGTTACTTTCCTTTTAACGAACTCCTCAATGTTTTCATAACATTGCCATAATAACTTACCCTCTCTGTTTCTTTTTATAGGGAGTTCAATATTTTTGCACACTTATTCGAACACTGTTTAGATATAAATGTTGACCCAAAGATACGAATTAACCTCTTTTTTTTCAAACCATGTAATCCAAAACCCCTCATCTGAAGTCCCAATAGATCTCGTTGCTCTAAGTATATTTTTCAATCTAAATACACTTAATACAGTGGATTGCATATCATGAATTACACTTACAAAATCAAGACAATGGGGGTAAAAATGAGGAAAAGGAAATTCGTTCTCTTTGGGTTTTTTTGGGTTTCTTGGAACCAACCTCTCTACTCATAGTGGGGTTAAGGTTCACGTACACACACCCTACTATCTCTATTCTGTAATCCAGAAAAGCTTCAAGTTACAAGAAACATTTTTATATAAAAAAGTGGATGTTGTTATAAGGAACTTGTGACATACCATGTCGACCACCGTTTGGCTGGAGAGAAATTCAAACACCCCATCACTTGCGACTACGAAAAACGGATAGTTAGCTGTTAACTGTACTGTCAATACCTCTGGAATAGCAACAACACCAATCTTCTCAGCTATACAATCCCCAACACTGCGCGTGAATGCAGTCCCCGGGTACATCCCATTCTGAAACCACAACCTAGGTGGGTCCCCACCTTCCACCTCATCATCCCACGTCTGAACATCCGGATCCTTAAGCCCCTCAACTTGGTCAACACTCAGGACCCTGGCCCCACAAAGCTTCACCCTCTCGCATTCGTCTCTCCTGAAAGGAGTCTGGTCAGAAGACAGATCTTTGGCCACAACTTTGTTCCCTTCCTTGACAGCCAGCACGGCCCGCGAGTCCCCCACATTCGCAACGTACAGCATGTCCCCGACGACTAAAGCCGTTATAGCAGTGGTCCCACTCATAGAATCATCTATGTCACTGTTGTGAAGCTCCTCGTTAGTCGTCAAGAACGCAGAATTAAAAGCCTTGATGGGGTCTTCTATTAAAGTGGGATCATTTGATAGCACATCGACTAACCTATTCTTAACAAAAACTGAGCATTCTGTCCCAAACTGTCCGTGCCCGTCAAAGACACCGCAGAAATGGACATGGGGATTTCCCTGAAGCTGTGATTTAATACAATAGCTATCTTGATTTTCCTTTTCAGGGGATTCGGGGTAATGACCACGTCGTGTAAGAGCATAATACTCTAACCTCAAGTTATGAGAAGGCACATAAGCAATGCATGAAGGCCCAGCAGCAGATGTATGGGGTTGATCTGAAACAGCACCCAATGCATCCCCGTTATCCGTGTCCGAAGATGAGGGTCGTCTCCTGCAACATTTCCCATGAATACACCCCATTTCTCAACCCGAATCAGAGTATGAACAGAACAACCCCTAAACCCCCAGAAAGGGTTTGGTGAGAAATTTCTAACAAATGCCAAGCAATCCCTCAAACTGCCAAGAAAGCAGATTATTCAGCGAAAATGGTCAAATTGTGCCTTCACTGAGTTGGAGCATGGACACTAAGAGATGAACACGATTCATGATTCGAAATCAACAACTGGGATTTTCCCAAATTGCAATCTTGCTTCAAGGGCATGGGTTTTCAAGAAGACCCATTTCTTCTTGAAGATATCTTTCCGGCTATGAACAAACCCTAGAAACCGCAGAAGAAGGAAAAAAGAATAGTGAATCCACCAGAAAACTCTTCAAGGTCAGAATGAAGGTCAGAATGAGTCAATCCAGGCGAAAGGATTGAAGACAAAGAGGGTGACCAAAGAAACCTACACCATATACCGGAGGGCTATTGGGGAAAAAATGAAAAAAATTCAAGAATTGGAAAGGTGAACGCAAAGATGCAAAAGGCGAGGGAGGATTGTGAGGAGATCGTGCAAGAACTTTCCGATGAGATTGTGGGGCCTGTTTCCAGCTTATTATTGAGATACAATTATGTGTAGTAAATCTTGATTATTACATTGCATTTGGGTTAATGTGAGAAGAAGAAATGGGATAATGGAAAGGTGAAATTAGGGATTTGGGGATTGCGAAGATGGAGATTAGTAAGGGGGGTTTAGTGTTTGCGTGTGAAATTAACCATCTTTCATGCTGCTGATTCTAATGCATGAGGAGGAGGCCATTTGTGCGTTACCTTTCAAGGGAGCAAGGCATAAAGGATGATAGGGAGAATTTACAAATTATGGTGCACCTTTTGAGTAGTTTTTGAACAAGATAGTATTTTAGATAAAATTTCAAAGGTGTAGATAGTCTTTTCAAACCGTTAAAACTAATTCATAACGCTACTACGATACAAGCCCGCTACCAATGATAACGTTTCTATAAGTTAATTTTTACTAATTGAAAAACAATGTTCTCGAACAAAACTTATATTTATATTCAGATGCAACTAAAATTTTATATCATATAAATCGTAAACGGATATATACTAATTTTATAACATGCATACTCTCAATATACATCAAGATAATAAACGTGCATTTTATAAAAGCCTACAATAAAGAATTATGATTTTAAAGTTTACAAGTGGAATGTGGACGTTCTCATATATTTGACATGTGTGATGGAAATTAGCCCAACAACTATGACGACGAAGAACGAGATAATCTCAATAATAAATCAATCTTGACCTATTTCGATTTCTTTGTGTATGAGAGTATGTTTTCTACTTCTTTTTACAATGTAGGATTCTCCCTCTGTTTATACTATGTTACGATTACAAACATAATGGACATTCATCGTGTGCATAAATCTCGACCATTATCTCTTGTATGTCGATCGTGGTGGTTAACATCTCAACCCCTAATCTCCCCACGACTTGGTGTTGTGTTATCCGCCTGTATTATACGTTTGGGCCTATCAACGGGAACTGGGCCCTTTGTACCATTTTTCCAGTCCCTGTTCCGCACTGGCCCAAGCCACTCCTGTGGATTGGGCCGCTCATTTACGCCTATCGGGTCTGGATATCCATCAATGTGATCATAATTGGATCTTCATTTTTTTCAAGGCCCAACATATATAACTACCCCAGAGTATTTCATATATTAAGTTTCATATAATGACCATGAAGCTAAGGATTACCATAGAATTTGCTTACAACTAACATCAGATAGAGACTGCACATTACTTTCTTCGGAATTTTTACTTTAAAAATATAATTTTACTTTTTTTCCCATTCTTGTTAATAATTTGATTAATATTCATTATAGATTAGAAAAATGTATATTTTATAAAGTACATACATACTACTTTTGTACTAAAATATTTGTCTGATTTTGATTTTTTACAATCACTTATTCTGAGAGAGAGGAATTATATTTTATAATGTGCATATTTTGCTAAAAAACATGAATGTATGGAATAAATATTGTATAAATTGTAAATGTGCATGTGTGTGAGATGCAAATTTTTGCATTAGTGTGATGAATATTATTTAGTTATCAAATGTGCACAGTGCAGAGTGCACACATATATTTATGTGCGTATTATGAAAAAATATTTAAATCGTTAATATGTGAAATGAGTATTATTTCACGCATATATCACAACTTGTCTAACCTGAATCTATATGTAAGCGGGTCAGTTTAATACTTCTGCCGTTTCAAAAAGTTTGTCCCATTTTGACTAAAGTGGTAAAATAAGGAGGAATATTTCGGTGTTGACTTTCCAAAAATACCCTTGATATGATGGGTAAAAGTAGGATGTGATGAGTAAATTATTAAGAAAAAGATATGATGTACTTCGTAATAGGTAGGATATGAAAAAGTAAGGGATAAAAGTGTTTTTTTAATAGAAATGGGACGGATTTTACGGGACGCAATGTTTTTGAAACGGGACAAATTTTTTGGGACGGAGGGAGTACTAAATTTCAGTTTGATACTAAATTGGTATCTACATATAATTTTTATCGACAATATAATATAATTTTAAAATCGTTTAAGTTTAACTACTCCGTATTATTTAATAGCAGTTTATCGAAATAATGTAAAATATTATTTACATACCATCACTACAAGAATATATCTAGTCTGCAACGGAAATCTGATACGGACACATATCCGTAGCCGATCTGCAACAAATCTGCGAAGGAATAATAATTTCTGAAAAGGAACAATAAATATTTCGTGATATCTGCGACAGACTGATTTCCGTCGCAAATACTACCTCCGTCCCAAAATATTCACAACATTTGTTTTTTCAGCAGACATAGAAACTTTTATTTATTTCTACGTTTTCATTGGTTATTTAATAAAATAAAATATTTTTGACACCTCTTATTTCAAAGAACTTTTCATGTAGTTTTTTGATATGTAAATTTTATTTTTTATTTCTATACCAATATGTAAATAAAATGAATTGAAAAAATTTTGATATTTTAAATCGGGAATACAAATGTGGCAAATATTTAGGGACTCAAATAATTAATTAAAATAGGGTTGTCATCTTTTCAATCTGTAGACGAAATCTGTAAGCCCAGCCATCTTCCGTTCACCCAACTTCGACCAACGCATCTCCTCCGCGGCTTTCCTTGACCGCCCGCCGCCGTCGCACGCTTCGTTGACGCCGCGGCCCTCGTCCTCCTCGCCTCGCCGTCGACCGCGCCGCCAGTGTCTCCCTCCTCGCCTCGCCTTCGACCGCCAGTCCCCTCGCCGCCAGTGTCTCCCTTCCTCCTCGACGCCGCCGCCAGTGTCTCCACCCGCCGCCGCCAGTGTCTCGACCGCCATCTTCCCCCACCGGACCTCTTCTACAATTTATTATTATTGTAATTTTTGTGAAATTGAAATTGTTTTTGTGAAATTTAGTGCATTTTTTGGTGAAATTTAGTTGAAATGGTGTGAATATGAGTTTAAATTGACATGAAATTGGGTAAAAATTGCACTAGTTTTTTGTGAAATTGATAGAACTTAAGGTGTAATTTTTGTTGAAATTGTGTTAGTTAATTTGACGTTTGTTGAGAATTTAAGTAAAATTTAGTTGAATTTTGTGATATATGTAGTTAAATGATTGTTGTTTGTGGTTTAATAAGATTGTCGTTTCTTAGACTTTATTCTTGTTATGGTTTGTTGGTAATGAATGTGGTTGATATTCTTGGTTTAATGATTTTTGTTTGCCCAATTATCAGGCGTTTCTAAAATGAGTCCATTCGAAAATCGTGAGTTGATGTATAAGAAATATGAGAGAGAAGGTGTAGTTAGTCAAGAATGGGTGGACAACATGGTGGGAGAAATGGACGAACCCGTTGGTAGGTTTCATTGGAAAATATAATAAACATATCATTATCCATGTTTTTTTAAATAAAATTTAGTTTCTTATGAAGGTTAAAAGTATACCGTCTTCTTACACAATCTTAAACATTTACTAAGTTTTTTTTGGGCACGAAAAATGAGGGCAAACTGAAGATTTTTTGTTAAGTATACTAAAGTGAAAGTGAATATAGTCAAAGGGGAAAATATATTTGCATTTTTTAAATTTGGCATAAGACATTAATTAATAATGTAACTGAACATATGATTTCCCAAGTATATATACTGCAGCATAGTCAAAGTGTTGGATCTGGGCGTAGGTTGTTTGAGGAAAAACAGTGGTTTTAGATGGAGAAGGAGTGATAGTCGATTACCTAAAGAGATAATCGATTATGGAAGGGTTCAGTTTCTCAAAGGATTTGGTGGAGAGTTTCTGAAGGGGTTGATAGTCGATTTACACAAATATGAAAATCGATTATTGGTGACTGCAGATGTTTCTTGTGAGTGGATAATCGATTATTCCAAGCTGGTAATCGATTATTGGGCAGTTTCAAGGAACAAAAAGGAAGTGTTTTAGTAACGGGGATAAACCAAGGAGGTCTAAGAGATATAACACACTCTTATCCTTTCTTGGGGTTGAAATCTAGATTTCAATTAAGATATAACACACTTAATGAAATACTAGAACCTAACACTCACACTTAAGGAAACCAACCTTAAGATATAGAAATTAGGATTTGAAAACAGAATACAACCAGTGTATTTCTATCTTGAAATGAAGAATACAATCTGTTTTCAAATGAGGCCTATGGCCGAAATAAATAACAAGGGAAAGGGGGAAATTACAAGCTTTGTTCCTTAATCAAATCACCAAAATATGACTTAATATGATATGCCTTGATGGAATGAAATAAAAGTGGAGTGTAGTGTTTGTGGGACTTGGGTATTTCGGCCA